GAGCGGGACCGTGCGTTGGCACTTATCGGAAGGCTCTTTGGCTGCCCGGCTTCGGCTCGGCAGGGCTTGCCCGGCTGCGCCGCGGCCGTAGTCGCTGCCACCGCGGTCCCTGCCGCCGTGGTGACCCCGCTCGCAGCCCCTTGGACCCCCTTCGCCCATCTTTTCCCCCGGATCTGCGGCGTAGCAGCGCTCGGGGGTTAAACCTCACCCCATTTTGTTTTTTTCCCTGCGCTTCTTAATTTAAGGGTACCCAGGTTTAACGCTGCCAGGCTGGGACGCTGGCTCGAGAGGCGGGAGACGCTCTAATCCTGGCTTAGCACCCCAAAACGGGGATGGTGGGCTGCGAGGAGCCTCCTAAGGGAGGTAAGAGCCCTTTATTTCACTGGAATTTGGGAAAATGATTGGGTTTGGGTGTGAATAACGTTTTTTTTGCCCCTCCTCACCGGTGGTTGCCCAAGCGAGGATGCTCCCCAAAGCCACCAGGCTTGTCCTCCAGCTTGGCAGCTCGGTGTTGGCGAACGGCAAGGTCTTGCAAAACCGGGTGTGGGAGAGGTCAGGGCAATGTCTGCCCGGGGTGGGGGAGAAACCCACCTTGCTGAAAGATCCTGTTGGCAGTTAGGAAAAATTTCTTCACTGGAAGAGCAGTCAGGCGTTGGAACGGGCTGCCTGGGGAAGTGGTGGCGTCCCCATCCCTGGAGGGGTTCAAAAAACGTGTGGACGTGGCACTTCAGGAAGTGGTTTAGCAGGCATGGTGGGGTTGGGTTGATGTTGGACTTGATGATCTTCGAGGTCTTTTCCAACCTTCACGATTCTGTGACTGCCGTTGCCTCAGCCGGTGTCGTCAGCACGTGGCCAAGCAAACGCTGGCCGTGCTACCGGTGTCCTTCTCGCGGACAACCCTTCCCTACAGATCCAAACCAAAACCAGCTGAGGCGGACAGGGCTACTGGGAGGGTTCCTCACCTACAAGGGGTTTATTTTCTCACACATCTCAAGGGTTTGATGCACAAGAGTGATTCCCCTGGGGTTATCGCAACGGCAGAGCCTGCATCCCCGTATTCCACGTCCCCACCTTGTATCGAGCCCGTCTCGTCCTGTTGTTTCTTCCGGCCTTGGGGCGTTTTTCCGGCTGGGCTCCCCGCGGATGCTGCCGTGTCTGGGTAGGACCAGACCGCCTGGTAAAACACGTTTGCTCCGGCAGCGTGGCGAGCAGGGCTGCGTGTTCCTCTCCGGCTGGCTCGGGCGGACGCGTTTGTCTTGGCTGGGTGGAAGGGGCAGGAGAATTGACACCGTCTCATCCCAACCCCTCGCTGCGTCTGGGCTTGCAGCCGGCCGTGACGTCTCCCATCCCAAACTGGAGCCTGCAGGCTGCTAGCAAAGATCCTCATGTGTTAAATCCCGCCTGACGTGACCCAGGGACCGTTTTCCTTTCCTTAATTTTGTCTCGTCCTGAATTTTCGTTTCCCCACCTCCAAGGGCCCAAAGTGACCTGGCCAACCCCATCCCACAGGTGAGACAGCACCAGACCTTGCTGGCTGCAGCGGTGACCTCCATGGGTGGACCTTCCTCTTCTTGCATGCAACCTCTAGCCTGCATGGATGGATGGATGGATGGATGGATGGATGGATGGATGGATGGATGGATGGATGGATGGATGGATGGACGGGTGACACTGATTAGGAAGCCCTGAGCATCCCATGGGGACCATGAGAGCAGAGGGAGATCTCCAAGTCCCCTTGGGGTTGCTTTGCTTCAAGGAAGGTGCTTGGAGAAGGGCCGTTTTCCTTTCCTTAATTTTGTCTCGTCCTGAATTTTCGTTTCCCCACCTCCAAGGGCCCAAAGTGACCTGGCCAACCCCATCCCACAGGTGAGACAGCACCAGACCTTGCTGGCTGCAGTGGTGACCTCCATGGGTAGACCTTCCTCTTCTTGCATGCGACCTCTAGCCTGCATGGATGGATGGATGGATGGATGGATGGATGACGCTGATTAGGAAACCCTGAGCATCCCATGGGGACCGTGAGAGCCGAGGGAGATCTCCAAGTCCCCTTGGGGTTGCTTTGCTTCAAGAATGGTGGTTGGAAAAGGGCCGTGGCTGCCTAGGCAGCTTGTGGAGAAGGTCTCTGGGACCAGCACGTGTCCGCTTTCGGTGTGCTTGTGCTGCTGGGGGGAAAGGCTGCGTCTCAGGGCAAAATCTCAGGGCAAGGACCGGCGCTCGCGTTCACAAACAGTGGCTGCTGCTGCTCGGCAGAGGTTCGGTGTCACGAGATGTGCGAGCTCAAGGCTTGCAGCTCCGCTTTCTGGTGTCAGAGGGCACGTCCTCCCCTGCCAGGACACCTGCTAGATGTCCGGGCATCCTGAGCATCTCTGTCCCCAGTTTTCCCCCAAACCTCCGGGCTGTTGTCCCCACCTCAAACCCCTCTTTAGCAGCAGAGAGAGAAGAAAATATGTTCCCCGGGGCTCTCCAGCCGAGCTCCG